CATAATATGTTGGGTAAAACATGGGTAGATGAAATATGAGTTGGACGATGAGTTGAGAGGTGATATAGACCAAGAGGTAAGGGTGAGAGGTGGACGATGTGAGAAGCCTTTTTCCCAAATGATGTCCCCGTCATCTAGCAGAGTATGGATGACAACCACGGACTATTCTAGACAGTCCAGTGGAACACTAGCAGGCTCGCAACCTGTAGGTGTTAAGAATAAATCAAAGAATTTATTCTTAAGTTTGTCAAGAAGAAAAAGGAGTCTCCAGTAAGGATCGATATTGTGACTTGAAGGTCATAATTTGGAGTCTAATGCGAGATAGGGAACAGGTGCAAGATCGAGCACCGCCTGTAGTCAAGGAGTCTAAGAGTTAGATACTCGTTCGAAGAAACATCAAAGTTACGGTTATAACATAGGATGAAGAGATAACGGATGGAGTCATCATGTGAGCCCTGTTTCGTTGATGATTCTGGGACGTAATCATCCTAAGGGGGAGATAAATGTAACGCCCATAGATCCGGGCTAGTCAATCTAGAGATAATAGGGGTCGAAAACGACTTTTCGACAAAATATTATTTAGAATAAATAATCTTAACCAAGTTGTAGAATATGTCTCAAGGGTTCCGTACATATAAAGAACGCCGAAATCCGAGTTATAACGAAGAAGTTATGACCCGACGAAGTTTCGCGATAGCAACCGGCACGGCACCAGGAAGCGTAAATAGTGAATTTACGATAGAGCGACTTTTAGCCTTAGCGAACTAAACGAAAGTCGTAGAATACGTTAAACCGAGAGCGTCCATAAAAAGAACGTCCAAATCTGACTTCGTATGAGGAAGTTATGATTTTTCGAAGTTTCGGCTTAGCAGTGTACAGCCCGAAATTCGAATATTAGAATGAGCGGTTTTAGCCGACACAAGCTAAACGAGAATCGAAGATCTCGTTAATAGTAGCGCATCGATAAAAAGACAGACGAAAACGGACGTCGGATGAAGAAGTTATGAATTTTTAACGGACCAATCGTGTCCCGTCCTGTTAAAAATATAACTTTTAAAATGGAGTCAAAATTAGCCGACGGAATCTAAACAAAAGTTGTAGAGTACGTTCCCGCCTACGCGTGGATATAAAGAACGTCGAAAACGGAGCTCGTATGTGAAAGTTACGAATTTTTAAAGACGAGTGTGCAATTTGTGAAATCTGATGCAAGATACGATGACGTGGCACGATCCCAGCCTTCCCTTGCTCCCCACGGTCTCGCTTCGGATGAGTGACATGCCACCCCTCGCTACGCCCCGCGTCCGAGGCCAAATACGCCCAGCGTACTTCGGCTCTTATCCACTTCCGAGACTGGCACGTGCGAGACAGCGGGATGCGAGCTGGCATCCTTATCCGAGCACTACGCCCAACGTAGCCAAGGGTTACGCCCAGCGTAATCCGAGGCCTCGCAGGCTATAAATGGGGGATGAGAGTTCCGAGTTTTTCACACCAATTCTCCTTCTCTCTCTAGTTTCTTTCCCTCTCTAGCCTATCTTAAGCCACCCTAGGGAACCCCCCCTAGCACCCGAAGGAAGCCCCGAGGCTCCCGGAGTCCCGATAAAAAGGGTCTTTCGGTTCGAAAACGCTGCTCCAAGCGAAGCCCGGTTTTCTTTAAAATCCGATGTAAGTGAGCTACGCCTATGAAAATTTTAATATAGCTTTTAAATAATTATAGTAATGTTATTAGGTCCTTAAAATAATTATTTGGGCTATTATTATGAGTTATATAGAGTGTTGTTTAACGCTTATATAATAATAATAATAGCTAGACTATTAATTAGTCACGGTTAACGTTAGACTAAACCCTAGTGGTATTTATACTAGGTTTTGTCAAGGGAAAATTGTTTTGAGATAACGAAGTGTTGTCCGAGTTCCGAGTCACCACTTTTACATGTGAGTGCATAGTTACTTTCATCTTACACATAGATATGAAGTATTTTATATAAATTACGTGTTATGTGTGCATATTATCTGTATACTTGCTATCTATGTTGGATGAACGATTTCATACAAGTTTTATATGATTTAAACTGTATATGTATTTATATCTACATAATATGTTGGGTAAAACATGGGTAGATGAAATATAAGTTAGACGATGAGTTGAGAGGTGATATAGACCAAGAGGTAAGGGTGAGAGGTGGACGATGTGAGAAGCCTTTTTCCCAAATGATGTCCCCGTCATCTAGCAGAGTATGGATGACAACCACGGACTATTCTAGACAGTCCAGTGGAACACTAGCAGGCTCGCAACCTGTAGGTGTTGTGAACGATGTGTTCACCCGGTGTACTCTAAACCCTGGCGATCATGCAGACTTGGTGCCTAAACCTTGGCGATCATGCAGACTTGGTGCCAAAACCCTGGCGACTATGCGGACTTAGTGCCTGTTGTATAAACCCTGGTAACTAAGCAGACTTAGTGCCTAAACCCTGGCGACTATGCGGACTTAGTGCCTGTTGTATAAACCCTGGCGACTATGCAGACTTAGTGCCTAAACCCTGGCGACTATGCGGACTTAGTGTCTGTTGTATAAATCCTGGCAACTATGCAGACTTAGTGCCTAAACCCCGGTGACGATAGACTTCGTGTCGATTCCTTAGGATGATCCTTAGGAATGAATGAACGAGGAATAGTTGATTCTTAGGGTAGATCCTTAAGAGTAAAGAAGATAATGGGGATGGGTAATTGGGTTGATTGTTTGATGTTTAAACATAATAATTATATTATTGTGGGTTGAAAACCCTATGTACTCACCAGGTTTCCCAACCTGACCCACTCCAGCTTATTTCTATCACAGGTGTCGATATGAAGTTACATTACACTGAGAGATTTAAAAGAGATGTAGATCACTAGTGATAATGAATATAAGTTCTGTTTATGCTTATGTTTCTGTATTGACGATGACATCCCAATGTTTTAAAATGAATAAAATACATTTCTTCGGAAATGCTTTGATAACGTATTTATCATGTTTTTCTGGGAACAAATTCCGCAACATTTTTATTAAAAAGGTACTCTGATTTTTATAAAGCATAAACAAAATCGGTCTTTTCTGGCCGTGAAAATAGGGATGTCACACCACATGCAGAAGAAATAAACAATCACGATCACTAAGCCCACAGCCTATGTTTGGAATGCTCCCGATATTACGTTGATCTTATCGACATTCCATCATTCGCCTGGAAACTCACGACCAGCACCACGCGGCCTAAAGATACTTAACCTCATTCAACCGCCTTGCAGGAACCCAATCAACGTCCTTCTCAACGCTAACCGAACGCAACAATGTCATACTCTTTTAGCACGCACAATTTCTTTCACAATACAAGCTGCTACCAACGCAAAATCCGATGAAAACATGGTCGCGTGTTTTAATATATCTCATTTATATACATTTTATCCGTATTAGTAATATATAAATATGTTTTCTCACAAACAATCACGTGTTTTAAGATATTTTTAATTAAAATATGAATAGTTGAAAAAAAGAGTGTTTTGCCGCATCTGGTTATTACTATGCGGATTTTTCTTGGAACAATAAGTATTATTTCATAATTAGTTTAATGTTATTAATAATTTTTTGTTGTATGCCTTAAAGGCATCAAACATGCGATAATGAGTTTTTATATCAACTTCGTATAAATATAATTATTTCAAAGTTAATAATAGCGATATGATTATTTTATCAGTATTTAATAAGGTTTTTTTGTTACAAATGGTATAGTAAAAATTGTAGTGTTTTTATGTTATTAAAAGTTGTAGTATTTATGTTTTTCATATATTTGTTATTCATTAAATACATAAATTAACATACAATTTATATACAATTTACAAACCTTAAAATGGTCAATAAAATCATCAAAATATTTATTTTTTATACTATTTGTTATTCGTTATATATAGAAATCAATATATGTTTTATATACATTTAGTAACATTGGTTTTTCATTTATAAATATTAAATCACAATTTATAGAATTAAGAGAACGATTAAATAATTGTGTGGATTTGTGTGTTTTCCGTTAAAATAACTATATAAATATATTCTTGCGCAACGCGCGATGATTCGTCTAGTTTTGAGGACAAGAGGGGTAAGATATTTGCAACTTAATCTCATTTGTATTGTAATTTTTTGTCTATTTTCTTGTTATTTCTATTTATAAGTAAGTCATTTTTTTTAATCTTAATACTAGACATACAAAACAAAAAATATAGTACATGTGACTAACTTAATTGTACTCTCACGATTTTCCAAATATTTTTTCTAATTATTCTTTTTACTTTTAATAATAGTGTGTTATGATTTTTCATAAGTAACAACACCAAAATTGCTACAAGAAGTTCTCTAAAAATAATCAAATTTTATTTTAAGAACTAGAAATGTAGTTATACCTTAATGAATGTGATTTATCCTATCCTTATTGACGCCAAACTATCTAAAGTTAATGATCAGTCTTGAGACGTTGATCTGGTCTCCCGAAAAAGGATAAACGTCATTAGTAGAGCTTGCTTGTATATAAGGAGAAAGTAGGATATATGAAAGTTTCACATATTTTTTTAAGGTGAAAGTAGGACATATGACATTTTCCCATGTACACGTTTTGTAAATGCATAGGGTTTTTTTTCAGATTATTCTCAAACACGACGACTATATCTCGACATAAAATTCCACATATATAGTTAATATAAAAATGCGCCTTTATCGAATACTAAAATGTTTTACTATTTATTATCTTATCATACAAAAATAAAATCCTTTATGACTTATGTTATGAATTAGTCATTTGACCATGTCCAAAACTTGGTTAATTAGACTTTCATAATTCAGTTTAACACGTATAGTTTACCATTTAATTCAACTCGTCAACCAAAACTCAGCTTATTAATAGGCCAAAGTCTAAGAACAAAACACCAATTCAAAGATGGAGAAGTTTATGCTATGCACATTAATGTTGTTTGTCATGACAGGGTTTGTTCATGTAAACGGTAAAATTTTCCATTTGGGTTCTAAATGCTCACAAACAAGGAACACAACTGGTAATTATAATACCATCTACCAAACAAACCTTAAAACCCTTTTAGATTCACTAGCCAACAACTCACCTCTTCAAGGAGGATTCATGAATACCACCATTGGAACTGGTTCTAATCAAGTTTATGGTCTTGCATGGTGTCGAGCAGATGTTTCTCCTACCACATGCTCCAAGTGTTTGAACGAAACCATTCGTGTACCTCTAAGATATTGTCCCGAAAGCAAAGGCTTGGTGATATGGTCGAGTTTGTGTAGTTTAAGGTTCTCAAACGAGAGTTTCTTTGGTGAACTTTGGAACAGGTCTTCATCATCCGGCTATGGTAGAAACACACTTGATGAAGCTTCAGTGTTTTCAAGAGGGTTTTCGATGATGGAAGCATTAGGAAGGAATGTTTCTAATCAAGCATTGATGTTTGATATTGGTGTTATTGATGTTGGGAATGATGGGAAGAGATACGGGTTGGGTCAGTGTAGTCGAGATTTGAGCAAGTTTGATTGTGAAAAGTGTTTGGAGAAGCTTCTAATGATTTATCAAAGGTTTGTATTGAATCGGACTGGGTGGGAGATGTTGGGAGTGAGTTGTGGTTTGTGGTATAGTTCTATGCCAACGATTCAGGATTGACTCTAACACCAAGACACCAATCAGCTCAGCTCAGGTACGAGTATTTTACTTTTACTTCTGACTTTTGTAGCATTTCTTTTATTCCATTGGATTGCATGACATAGAATCTACTATTATATATATATGACTTATATCTTCATTTTAATAATTATGGTTTGGATAGAATTGCAAATAGTCACAAATGGGTATATAAACTATTTGTATTTTTCACATATATTATCAGAATGTAAGAAACTCAAACTTTATGTTCACAAAATACACTTATTTATAGTTTTTTTATGGTTTCGCTTGCTTCCCTTCTTATGGTAACCTTTTTAAAACAATAACGTTTTGTAAAAGAAAAAATAGTTTGTTAGTTGTCAACCCATTTACGACATTAACCCAAATCAAAAACCATGTTCCACGGTGTCTGCAAATACAATAACCAAAATTAAAGAACAAGAAAAACTCAGAACCTAAGAAAATTGATAATTTTATTTTACCAACAAAAGATTAACGCGATAGAGAAAAGTCAAACCCACTATTAAAAATATCGAGCAAGGTCAAAATCAGGATACCTTCAAGCTAAAGTAGTTATTTTTTATTTTTTTAACGGAATTTCTTTCCAATCTACACAAAATCTGGCTACTTAAGAAAAGTCAAACATACCTCTCTTATTGATACATTATGTTCTTCCCTTTTAGCTCCTGAAATTATAAAAATAACAAATATTAAACCCAATGAACATTGAATTATTTGTCTAGACCAAAAAAAAAATTAAAAATTAAAAATTAAAAACAATGAAGATGATGTAAATGTACCTTTATTTTTTTATTTGCGGCATCTAACTGATGTTGGAGCAAAGATATTTGCTCTCTTTGAGAGGAACAAGTCTTCTATAAAAGAAGAAGGAATGGAAAAATGTTTAACATATTGGCACCTCATTATAATAGAAAGATGAGAAATTAACGTGTTAATGAAAAGACAAAACTAACCTCCATAGCAATCGATTTTAACCTCAATATACTACACTCAGCAGCAGCAGTGTGCCCTGTTCTTTCTCTTTCCTTTTCTCTGTATCTATATCTTACAATTTCAGAACCTAACTCCTGTAATTGTGACAGGTGGCGTTCACGATCTTCCCTTAGTTGAGTCAATTCATCTCTGAGGATAGCCACCTCTTTTACAGCAATTTCTTTTTGTTTCACTGCATCATCTCGTGAATCCTTTGATAATAACACAGGGTCAAATTGGGAACAAAGTATTATAATGTACTTTCAGCCAAAGTAAGAGATAAAAGACTTACTTTAGCAGAAGTGAGTTCATTTTGCAACCTCTTGTACATATTTTCTTGTGTTTTCACCTGAAACAGATGATTTGAAATCAAAAACAACATTTTGTAGTTTTACTTCTATAAATGTTGATTCACTTATTTATATTACCTTCTCATTAGCAATCGATGCATTCTGTTCAGCCTTTAAAAGTTTCTCATTTAGAGAATCTTGATTCTTTTCTAAAGCCATCCTAGCTTCTTTTTCTTTATTGTGAAAATCAATGGCATTCTAGTAATTAATACAAGAGATTTGAGATAAGAATAAGAAACAAACGAGATATGATTGATAACACAGAGTTGTTAGACTTTAAGGCTTACTAGCTTCTGTGACTCTTCATTTGACAAACTTTTTCTTAAAGAAGATATCTTGTTTTCCCATTTGATAATAGTTGAGTTCAACTCTTCCTCCTTAAGTTTAATTGCAGCCTCTGAAAACAGATAAAAAAGACTGTTAAGATGAAGTTGTTTCTTATATATTGAAGTTACTTTACTTTTACCTGCTTCCACACGTTTACTTTCTGAAGAATCCAGCAATGTACGCAAGTGATCCTTTTCTTTAACAGGATCTTCAAGATTCTCTTGAAACCATTTTATACAAACCTTGAGCTGTTTAATATACTCTCTCATCCACTCATGTTTTCCCTGAAATACAAAAGATGAATTGATGTTATACCATAAGTATATGAAATGCAGCTCAATATGCAACAGGAACAGAAATAAAGCATAAGATTACATAAGAAAGTCATACCTTTGAATCAAACTTTTTCCCTTTAAACTTATCATTCAATAGCACATCGACCTCCTCCTCCTTTGTACATTCAACAATTTCCCACTCAGAAACCTGAGTTTCAGAGGGTGCTACAGTAAAATCATTTTGATTGTTTCTTGAAGCAAGTGTTTCCCTGCATCCACTTGCAGTTGTTGAGGCCATCATCCAACCAATTTCAATTTCCCAGAGCTTATCAATAAAAGCATCATCGATGGCTTGATTATTCTGCAAGTACATTACGAGATCAAGTCAGTAACTGTTAACAAAAACCCTAAATAGAATCTATGAAACATAACCATGATTAATTCAAAAACGTTGTTGAACAATGATAGATTGCTAGAAAACATCCAAGAGATAAACGAGATTTGCGCAAATATGAATCGACTTGTATGTATGATCAAAACAATCCGGATATAATCAATGTCGGTGGACATGAAATCAGAGCTAAACAAGAATATAGCGAGAACACGATGTCCAAAACAGACTATCAACGACAATAAAAACATAGAAAACGATCAAGCAACATATACCCAAGTTATACACGAATACAAAAGCACATATTTCACAGTCACCGAACATGATTTCAAATTTAGATTAATCAGAAACTTACATTCACAGGACTGCGAGGATCAGACGGATTGTTTTGGTTCCGAGAATTCATTATTTGAATATGGAGAGCTTTGTGTGGAATTGCACCAAATTTGAAGTGAATTAAATGTAAACGATGTGTTACTGTCTATCTCCGATATCGTATCTCTCCCTAAATTTTGGAAATTTGAATCGAGGATAATCATCCAACTCGGTTGAACGTAATCTTCTATAATTTCTTCCTTGTCCACATACTAACCCAATCCAACACAATTTTTAAAATACATTAACAATTTAACTTGCACTTTGGGAAATGTACAAAAACAAAAGATTTTTATTTTTCGTTTATAGTTTTTTTTTTTCAGTTTTCGTTTTCCGTTTATACTTTTCATTGGAAAATTTAGAAAACGCGTTTAGTTAAAACTTATTCGTTTTTCATTTTTAGTTTTAGAAAATTAGAAAACGTGTTTAGATTTGTATTTTTCTATAGGTTTTCATTTTTAGAAAACGGTAGCGGTGGTAGGGTGGGGTGGAGGAGGCGGCGATGGTGGTGATGACAGACGGTAGTGGCGGCGGCGGCAATTGTGGCAGTGGTGATGATGGTGGTGGCGGTGGTGGTGGTGATGGGGTAGTGGTAGTGGTGATGGTGGTGGTGATGGTAGGTCGATGATTGTAGTAGTGGTATTGGGTAGGTGGGTGTGTGTGTGTGTGTTTGTGGGTGTAGGTATATGTGTGTGTTTGTGGGGGTGGGTAGGTGTCTGTGGGTGTGTGTGTTTAACGCCCGCAGATTTGGGCTAATCAATTTAGAGATAATAAGCGTTAAAAATGACTTTTTGATAAAAGATTATTTAGAATAAATAATCTTAACCAAAGTTATTGTATATGTCACAAGGATTCCGTACATATAAAGAACGCTAAAATCCGACTTATAACGAAGAAGTTATGACTCGTTGAAGTTTCACAAATAAACCGACACAGCTCTTCGTAACGTAAAACATAAATTTTTGATAGAATACTTTTTAGCCTTGGTAATCTAAACGAAAGTGGTAGTAGTCGTTAAACCGAGAACGTGCATATAGAGAACGTCCAAATCTGACTTCGTTTGAGGAAGTTACGATTTTTCTAAGATTTTGCATAGCAGTATACAGCCCGGAAATCGAATTTTAGATCGGTCAATTTTTAGCCAAAACAATCTAAACGAGAATTGAATATCTCGTTAATAGGAGCTCAACGATAAAAGGACAGTTGAAAACGGAGCTCGTATGCGAAAGATATATACGAAACTTAGTCCCTACTCTTCGAGCGTAGCGAATTCGATACAGATTTGTAAATTTGAGATAGAATGAGAATTAACCTATTGAGTCTAAATAAAAGTTTTAGCACTCGGAAATACCAACACATGGATATAAAGAACGTCGAGAATAGAGCTTGTATATTAAAGATATGGACGAAACTTAGTCCCTAATCTTCGAGCGCGATGAATTCGATACAGATTTGTAAATTTGAGATAGAATGAGAATTAGTCGACGGGGTCTAAATAAAAATTGTAGTACTCGGCAATACCTACACGTGGATATAAAGAACGTAGAAAACGGAGTTCGTACGTAGAAGATACGGATGAAATCCTTGGTTGACTCGACGAGTTTCCTCGCAACTCGTCGAGTTCACGCGTATCAAAGGGTTGTGGAAAAACCCTAGCCGACTAGCCGAGTCATACATCTGACTCGTCGAGCCCAAGACAATCTTCATCGGACTCGCCGAGTTGTTCATCCAACTCGTCGAGTACATGACTATCTTCATATGACTCGCCGAGTCGACCTTGCGACTCGCCAAGTTCCTTCAATCCTTTAACCATACAGATGCTTTTTAAGTCATGCAAAGGCTCCATATTGCAGATCCAGCTTCCCAACACATGTTTTATCACGTAAAGTTGCAAACTTTACGTGTATGCAAGGCTCTAATGACTCATAATGCCAAATCTAAACTTGAAATGGAGTTTAACTCAAAAGGAAGGGTTCATACTTGCTAAAGTTGTAAGCTTTATGGACCTAAGGACCAAGCAGAGTTCAGATCTGAAGTTGCAACTTCAGATCTTAGCTCATACCCAAGAATAGCTTCATAACATGATGAAAAGCCCTAATCTTCAACCCAAAAGAGATCTAGAAGGAAAGAAGGTCAAGGTAACGACTTGATACCTTCAAATGATGCTATCTGAGGTAGATTTCAGGTCCACACAAGCTCCTTGCTGCTAGCTACTTGATCTTCAAGTTCCCTTCTCCAAGAATCTTCTTCCAAGGCTTGAAACACACAAATGGAGCACACACACACGTATTAGGGTTTTGCTGAACTCTCTAGAGGCTGCAAAGGGAGGCTAAGGGTAAATGATCCTTTAAATAGGATGCAAAACCCCGGAATTTAGGGTTTCATCCTCCAGTTCCTACTCGTCGAGTCCCTTATTGGACTCGGCGAGTAGGTCACTAAAACACGCGACCCAACCCGCTGCTACTCGACGAGTAAGGCAACCAACTCGTCGAGTAGACCTTGAAAACAAGAAAATTATTATATTAATTCAATACCTAAGAATCGGGGTGTTACATAATGTGCCAGCCCGCCCCGATTCTCAGGTATTGAATTCTTACGAAAAAGGGTTTTATGGTAACTATAGGTGGTGGAGTTCGTGTTGGTGATCCGGGAGTTGAGCTTTCTAGTTTCAGACGACAGTTGTGAGGTAAGTTATCCTCACTATACTAAGGGGTCTAAGGCACCAAGGCCGGCCCATTGGATATGTTATCCTAGCAGTGTTAGATGTTGAGTATGAGTTAGTGATGCATGCTAGTGGTTATGCCAGTTAGGTAGACCTGTAGGACTACCTGTGATGTTATATGATTATTGCATGCTCAGTGGTTATGTTATATGTTATATGTTATGTGGGATGGGTTGAGGTTGTACTGCCCCGTGCGGTAGCCAACAAACCCTAGGAGCATTCCAGTTACGGGCTAAGGGAGACTCGTACTGTGGGCTCGGGAGCATTCCAGTTACGGGCTAAGGGAGACTCGTACTGTGGGCTCAATGGCAAGCCAGATGTGAGTTGTGGGCCCGTAAGGCAATCCAGACTCACACTATCGGCCCAGGGGGTAATCCAGTCTGTAAAGCTATGGACCCAGTACATGTTGTTGTTTATATATGTGTTATGTACAGTGTATCGGTATTTTGGGGGAACTCACTAAGCTCTCGGGCTTACAGTTTCAGTTTATTGTTTCAGGTACATCATGGGATCGCGGCAAGGCGAAGGCGTGATCGTACAGCTCCTCATGTTTTGTTTATGTTTCTGGGAAAACTCTGATATTATACATTTTGAAAACCAGTGTGTAATGTTTTTGATGAATTTGGAATGAGTGTGAAACTTAAATTTTGAAGAAAAAAAATTATGGGTGTTACACATTAACACATAACTTCGACTTGGGACTTCAAGGGGCGATTTTGGGAGATCATATCACTACTTAGCACTTTGGAAACACTTTAATTTGCATTTTGTAAGTTGATTTGAAGATCAAACTTGTTGAATTTGTAGTTTGATTTAGCCATGTGTGGCTAACTTCTCTATCATTTCCGATTCCAGATTTCTAAGTGTTTGTTGTTAGATTGTAATTTGCACTTGATTTTATGTTTATCATCTAGTAATCTTTGATTTGGTCTTAAATATATGTTTGATGGATCTCTTTTCACTTGATCAACGAATTAGGGTTCTTATCAATCTAGTTAGTCAAATTGTGAAATTCGTATATGTTTTATGATTTGCTGCTAATAACATGCACTTGATTGGTTGTAAATAGATCAAAATTAGTGTAATCAAAGATTAGATATTCATATTCCCGAACTTATGAGGAATGTTGGACATTGTTGGTAATTGTTGTAAGAATTTAATGTCATTTAATGATTTGATGCAAGAGCTTATTTGAATTGAATCAATTAAATGAAGTTTTATTTGAAGAACATATTTTGAATGAAACACCTTTGTTAACTTGGATATTAGAGCTTATTAATATCTACATTACCAACCTAGATTGAACATGAATTACAGTCATATTACATCTTCCAACACAACACATGTATATGAATCACAAATGGAAATGTATTTATCTTATTGCATTTTAGTATTAATTTTGTTTGTTTATGAAGTTTAATTTGAATTCAAACACAACCCCCCATTTTAACATTGATTTATGAGTTGTGAGAATATAGCTACATAAGAAGCTCTGTATTCCTGTGGACCGACCCTGCTTACTCTATACAATCTTTAGTGTAAGTAGTAGCAGTGACTTGTATTTTATTGTTATTATTTTATCTCATTATTTGTTGGTTTGACAACCAAACAATAACATCATAATAAGACTTCGAATGTGCAAATATGCAGAAAATATCAATGTACTTTATTCTTTTTATCAATATAAGAAATATACTTTATCTTTTTTCCCCTAATAGCAATGTACTTACATATTTTAATGATAATAGCAACATACTTACATTTTCTTGGTACATAATTGCAAATTTCCTTAGAAAACTTTACTAATAACTAATAGATAAAATTGCAAAGATGGTCCCTCTGGTTGTCAAAATTATATGATTTTGGTCCAAAAATGTTTTGTGGTGCAAAAGTAATCCAATTTTGGATACTTTGTGCATTTTTTGTCCAAAAAATGTTAACTTTAACAGTTTGGTTGTTAAATTTTTCAAAATGACAATTTACCCTTAGGTACCATTTCTGCAACCAAAATATAAGGACTATTTCTACATCTCTTCTTTTGAATTTTATTCAATTATTATACATTAAATCTTTTTTTAATTTCATTTTATTAGATTACATTTTTTTAGTAATATATTAATAAATATCATTTTTAATATATAATATTTATATATTAATAAATAATACTGGATTTGATTATTAATTACATTTAGTTAATTATTTTTTAATTTCTTTTTTAATAGAATATTTATTTTTATTGGATTATTATATATTAATTAATATTATTTAAATATATAATATTAATATATTAAAAAAATATTACTGATTATAAATTTCTTTTTTATTAGATTAATTCTTTTTTATTGGATTATAAGTTACAAATAAAAATTATTTTTAATATATAATATTTATATATTAATAAATGTTATTTTAATGGATTACTGTTTTAATTGTTTTTAATTGTTTTCTTCATTTTTTTAAATAAAAAACGCAAAGAAAATCACACGCAACAACATCTCCTAATTTATTATAAATATTTGGAAGATAACATATTTTTGACAACACCACCATCATCACCCAGTCCGGTACTAATGGGATGAGTAAAAAAAATTTTAAAATAAATTAGGATGGTGGTGGTGTTGTCCAAAACTATAATAAAAAAAAGTCCAAACAATATGGTGAGGATTGTGCGATCAATAACTTAGGAGTATGTGCGATGGGGGTAGGGGTGTAAATGAGCCGAGCCGAGCCCGAGTCTGACCAAGCTCGAGCTCGGCTCGTTTAATTTTGAGGAAGCTCGAGCTCGCTTCGAGCCATAAAATGAAGCTCGAGCTCGGCTCGTGAACAATTTAGTGGGCTCGCGAGCCTAATCGAGCCTAAACGAGCCTCTCTCTCTCTCTCTCTCTCTCTCTCTCTCTATATATATATATATATATATATATATATATATATATATATATATATATATATATATATATATATATATATATATATATATATATATATATGCATGCATGCATGTATGTATAAAGCTCGTTTAGGCTCGTGAGCCCACTAATTGAAGCTCGGCTCGAGCTCGTTTAATAAACGAGCCTCATATTTAGGCTCGAGCTCGGCTCAGGCTCGTTTAATTCGATCTCGAGTCGAGCTTTTAACGAGTCGATCCCGAGTAGCTCACGAGTAGCTCGGCTCACTTACAGCCCTAGATGGGGGAGACGTATAATGTCGAGAAAGAGTCGGACTACTACGTCATATTACAAGAGATCTTAGAGATTAGGTATTATGACATCAGACTCTCGATTGTTGTACTGTTTAATTATATATGGTTTGATAACAAATACGGTGTAATAGTCAACAAAACAACTTGATCGATGTCAAACCCAACCCTTGACTTCAAACTGACCACCTTTTTTATTTGTCATCACAAAACAAGTGTTTATACACCATACCCTTCAATGACAAAGGAGACGAAGATAAGTGGACGGTTATCAAGACAAAACCAAGAGAGGTATTTAAAGTCACTGAAGCTGAAATGGAAGCAGATGAAATCTTTCAGGTTGAAGAGCAGTTTGAGTCACCCCTTTACTATAACTCGTACAGAACGATTGCACCTAACCTCAACTACAAAGATGTATGACCAAATATCTAATGACGAGAATGAGGGATCCGGGGAGGAAGACAAAGAAGAGGAAGATTTTAAAGACATAGATGATGAAAACGAGTTGTTTAATTTAGACTATTAATTTCTTTTAGTTATTTTTTTTTTAATTTCATTTTTTTGGGATTAATTTTTTTTTTATTTTTTTTTTTGGATAACACCACCACCATCTTAATTTATTTATTAAAAAAAAGTTCACTTATCCCACCTATGCCAAATTAGGTGATGGTGGTAGTGATATCAAAAATATGTTATCTTCCAAATATTTAAAATAAATTAAGAAATGTGTGGTGAGTGAGATTTTTTTAGGTTTTTTTATTTAAAATAATAAAGAAAATAATGAAAAGAAATTAAAAACAATTAAAACATAGTAATACAATAAAATAATATTTATTAATATATAAACATTATATATTAAAAAAATAATTGTTAATAAATTATAATCCAATTAAAAAACTAATCTAATAAAAAAGAAATTATAACTCAATAAAGTAATATTTTTTAATATATAAATATTAGAAATTTAAAAATAATACTTATTAATAAATAATAATACAATAAAATAGAAATAAACCCTTAAAAAGAAATTAAAAAATAATTAACTAAATATAAACTCATAATACAATAAACAAATATTTTTAAATATATAAATATTATATATTAAAAATAATAATTATTAATATATAATAATATAATAGAAAAATAATCTAATAAAAAAAATTTAAAAGAATTAATGTATAATAATTGAACAAAATTTAAATAAAGAGATGCACAAATGGTCCTTGTAGTTTGGTTGTAGAAATGGCCCCTGAAGATAAAATTGGTATTTTAAAAAAGTTAACAGTCAAGTTGTTAAAGTTAACATTTTTGGACCAAAAATGCACAAGGTATCAAAAATTGGACCACTTTTGCACCACAAAACAATTTTGAACCAAAATCACATAATTTTGACAACCACAGGGACCATTTTTACAATTTTGTCAAACTAATAACTAAAAATAGCAATGAACTTACATTTTTTTTTATAGATAGTAGCAATATGTAACAAATAAAGTACAATACCAATATAAACAGTGAAAGGTAAGTAGATTGCTATTATCCGTGAAGAAATGAAAGTATGTTGTTCTTCCATGCAAATTTCCCTTTGTTAAAATGAGAATAGAAAAAATACCACTTTGAACTACATCAACTTATACAACCCTTGAGCTCCTACAATTATAAAACCATTAAATTCAAATAAGCAACTTGAGTTATTTGTCAAAACATAATTAAAAAATAAAATGTTCTTACTCAATCTCTCCCCTTCAAAAAGTTGACCTGCTTCCAGCAATTGGTCCTCTAATTTTGAAACAATCCGTTTTTGGTCCTCGTATTTTCTTCTTATCTCTAATGAAGATAAATCCACCATCTATTTGGAAAAATAGTAATCAGCCACAGTTTTTTGAAAGTTAACTATATACTTGATAGAGAATGTGCTATGGGTCTTATATAAATATATGGGTAAACATGGGGGACTTAATTGTAATATCTATAGCATAAATAGAGTAGTGATAGGAGTAGTGATGTATTGAGTATTTTGTAGCTTTGAGTATCGGCTTTAGCTTGGGCAGGAGGTTTCGCTTGAGAGAACTTCTCTGATTAGGGCAGGAGGACAATCATTTGGATTTCCTTTCTGATTTGTTCTTATTTCCATTTAGTAATCAAATAGCTACCTAGATCTATATATCTCATATTTTAGTTTCATTTATCTGTTATTGGATTCACGTTCTTATCAATTGGTTCCGTTGCCGGGAAATCGAATCAACCATGGTTACACCGGAGTCTCAAACTGTTACTCAACTTGAAGCAAGGATGGATGCGTGTGATAAGAAACTTGAATCGATCAGTTAAGGGATCTTACCTCTTCAATGAGATCGATGTGTGAGGCTCTTAATAACCTACCCAAATCACTCGAAAAAATGACGGAAGGCTTACATCGACCCACATGCAAGCATTTTACTCCAACTATGGAGACAGAGACTTCATTCTTCAGGGGACCAGCCATTAGCAACGATTACACTCTAATCGATGACTTAGGATCGTTGAATCAGGAGGGGGATGTAGAAGAATACATAGAGAAATTCCAAGCCCTATCAGCTTTTCTTCCATACCAATAAGAGGAACAACGACTTGGAATATTTATTCGTGGTTTGCAAGCGGACATAAAGAACTGGCTTAGATTACTCCGACCGACCACCTGTGAGAAAGCAATTGATCTCGCCCGACATGTTGCCACCGCCATCACCGCTCCGGGAGAACGTACAAGCGTGAATGGTAAGGTATCGAACTATACTTCTGGCTCCATTTTCAATTCGCACTATAGCCCTCATGATTTGACCGAGCAGTCAATTGGGCCTAATTCACAGACCACTGAAGCATTCCTGCCCAATACTGCGTATCTTCAATTACCACTAAAACCCTACAAATTGCCAAAATTGATTGTCATCTCTATTTGTAATGTCATTACTACGAGCCTGTTTAAACAAGAAGGGGAAGACGAGGATTCAAATTTGAAATGTAATTATTCAACTTTCTTGAAATCTATGACTTCGAATTCTGAGTGGGAAACCAAAACACAGCATCATGATCTTCACGATGAGGACTCTTGTCTTACCGTGAATTTAAAAGACGAATTACTTGTACCTGAAATCTCCCTGCGGTCTATTGATCGCTTAATCCAATTTTATAAACCCACGTGTAAGATAAAAGCATCAGATATATACCAAGAATTGGCTACCAGTAGTATTAAAAACTCTAGTTTGAACAACAGAATTCATGGAATTCTCTTTGAAAATCGATGCAAATCCCTCAAAATGGTTGAGACACTATTATATTTGGATTGTTTGAAGAAATGGGCATGTGTTACTGGTTATTCAAATCTTGTTTTCATGAAGGATGATACAACCAAAGCTTATGGAGACCATGAAGCCAACAGTTGGGCCCATCAGAAGATCTTATTGTTGCGAGAAGCTATGAAATTCTTCCATAAAGATAAGATAGAGATTGCTAAACGGAAATTAAACACCAGATTGAAGGGGGACAAGGTCATCCCTACAGTCATACTAAAATATGGAATTGGAGAGAAGGGAAAAACCGCATCTGGTAATGAAGGTTCCATCCCTGCAAATGCTACACTACAAATAATATCATGGAGGGTCCCTACAGATATTACAGATGACAAGAAAGTCCTCCAAAAAAGCTTGGAAGAAGGGGCGGGATTCCAGCTCCCAAATGAAGGGGTTGTTTTTCAATTTAAGTTGGTAGATAAAGAGCAGGAAGTTGATAGGCTTGAAGAAGTTGTGATGATGATGAAGAAAGGTGAAGTAGCTCTTCTGAGTATTGCACCAGAATATGCTTTTGGTTTTATCGGTTTCAAGCAAAAATTAGCAGTATTGCCGCCTAATGCCACTGGTACATATGAAATCGAGCTTGTCTCTTTTCTTAAGGACAAAGAATCCTGGGACATGAACACCACCAAAGAGAAGATTATAACTTTTGGCAAATATAAGAAAGAAGTGGAAGAATACCGAGCTATGCTCAAGCTTTTCATCTATTATACCTTAAAGGTTGCTATAAAGTGCAGAAAGTTGTCATCTTTTGGCCGGCCATCAATGAAAGAAGTTGTGTTTATTGAATCCAATGAAAGAGAGGAAACTAGTTGTGTTGACAGCAAGGTAAAACAAAGGAAGCAATGGCTGATTCCATGGCAACAATGTCCCATCAAAGAAGCAAAAGTGCCTTTCAAACAAAAAGTCAATTTCCTAACTCCCGGCTTGAGGACAAGCCTCTTCTTCAAGACGGTGGTATTGATAGAGAATGTGCTATGGGTCTTATATAAATATATGGGTAAACATGGGGGACTTAATTGTAATATCTATAGCATAAATAGAGTAGTGATAGGAGTAGTGAGGTATTGAGTATTTTGTAGCTTTGAGTATCGGCTTTAGCTTGGGCAGGAGGTTTCTCTTGAGAGAACTTCTTTGATTAGGGCAGGAGGACAATCATTTGGATTTCCTTTCTGATTTGTTCTTATTTCCATTTAGTAATCAAATAGCTACCTAGATCTATATATCTCATATTTTAGTTTCATTTATCTGTTATTGGATTCACGTTCTTATCAATACTTAACACACCAATAAAGATGAGAGTAATTTACATTTTTGGTCCGTATTTGTAGTTCTTGTAACATTTTTGGTTCATGTTCCAATTAAATGACTATTTTGAGTCCCTGAGTGTAGCTGTTTTTTGCAATTTTGTAGCCAAAAATACAGTTTTTTTCTTGGAAAAGTGATAAAGACGTTACAAAAATCACAAATAAGGACCAATATTTGAAGAGAAAACATTTTGAGAGCAAATTTGAAAAAATCAGTTATACTCAGGGACCAAAAATGTAATCTACTCTAAAGATAATGGAAATGTACCTTAAGCTTTTCATTTGCAGCTGCTAACTGATGTTCTAGCACAGATATTTTCTCTGTTTGAGCACAATACTTTCTATAAAAAGAAGAGAGAGTATGTTAAACAGAATTATTAGAAATTAATGAGCCAGTGAAAAGACAAAAGTAACCTCCAAAACAACTGTTGGGAACAATCAGGAAAAAAATATTGAGATGAAAGACAAACATTAACAGAAGTGAACTCCTGCTGCAAGAAGTTGTAATGTTTCTTTAAAGTGATGTGATTTTCCAAGATTGCAGCTTTCTCTTTTACAAAATGTTTGTTTGCATCAATGGCAGTAAAAAGTTGATTTTGAAGTTCGGTATTGTACTCTTGCAAAATCTTGTTCATGTCTTGTTGAGTTTTCACCGAAAGAAGACAATCTGAAATCAGAAATATGTTTTGTACGTAGTTTTATTTCAATGATTTTAGATTCTTTAATTTATATCACCTCCTCTTCAGCAGTTGATGCATTCTGTTTAGCCTGTAGAAGCTCTTCCTTTAAAGAATCTTGATTCTTTTCTAAAGCCTCCTAGCTTCTTTTTCTTTATTGAGAAAATCAATGGCATTCTAGTAATTACACAAAAGATGTAAAGTAAAATAAAACAAAAAGAGAAGGTAATGAGACAACATTACAGAGAGTTGTGAGATGAGATCATAAGGCTTACTAGCTTTTGTGACTCTTCATTTGCCAAACTTTCTTTCAAGGAGGAAATTTTCTTTTCCAATTTGGAAATAGTTGAATTTAACTCTTCTTCCTTGATTTTCATTGCAGCCTCTGTAAACAGATAAGGCTTAATAGATTCAACAATTTCCCACTCAGAAACATCAACAGCTTGATTATTCTGCAAGTACATTAGGAGCTCACGTCAGTAACTGTTAACAAAAACCCTAAATAGAATCTATGAAACATAAACATGATTAATTCAAAAACGTTGTTGAACAACAATACATTCTTATTAAACGTTCATCGTTGATAGATTGCTAGAAAAGATCCAAGAGATGATCCGATATGTGCAAATATGAATCGACTTGTATGTATAATAAAAAAACCAATGTCGGTAGACATGAAAACAATCATAGAAAACGTCAAAACGATGTAGCGACATATACGCAAGTTATACACGAATACAAAATCACATATTTCACAATCACCGAACATGATTTCAAACTTATAGGAGTATTATTCAGAAACCTACATTCACAGGACTGTGAGGATCAGACGACTTGTTTTTGGTTCCGAGAATTCATTGTCATCTGGTTACTGTCTCTCTCCGATACCATTTGAATACGAAGAGCTCTGAAATTGCACCAAATTTGAAGTGAATCAAATGGAAACGATGCGTTTACTGTCTCTCTCCGATATCGTATATTCGTATCTCTCCCAAAATTTTGGAATCGAGAAGAATCATCGACTCGATCAAACGTAATCTTCTATAAGCTCTTCCTTATCCACAACTTAACTCAACTTATATATTATTAAATAAATATGATTTATAATTATCTTTTATTTTATTTAAAATTATGGAAAAGTTACCTCCAAAATTAGCAAGTGGCAAATAGTGTAGGGGTTATTTCCGTAACTTATCATTTACTATTCATAGTTTGACTATGAATAGTAATATAAGTGTGAATTTGGAAATAAGAATGGATGGTGGTTAATATTATAATATATATATGTTAATTTTGGAATGAAGAATGGATGGTAGGCGCCTACAAATCTTTTTCGCCTACAATTTTGGACATTTTTTTTTTCTTTCCTTTCATATTACATTCCCTTTGGCTATAAATAGCCTAAGCCATTTTCATCATAAACACACGAACCAAAATCAAAGTATATATAGAAAAGCATTAAATATATATACTTATACACCACCGTGTATTTTAGCTCTCTCACTCTATTTGTAATCTCTTTCATAATCCCTGTAAACACTGCAAATTATAGTGAATTGTTTCTCGGCTTCCTCCGCCCGTGGTTTTTTTCCCGATTTGGGTTTCCACGTAAATTCCTGTGTCTCTATTCTATTTATTTTATTCGTATTACGTTGTGATTATTACGCTTTGATAATTTTTGATCCCATTCCGCATTGAGCTAATATTATTTAAGTCAATTCGTATCCGTCGTATTTTACAACAATTGGTATCAGAGCATCCGGGTTGTAATATTAGCTCATTGGGATCATTTTATCAAGTAATTAATCATGTCTTCGGTAAAATACGATATTCCACTACTGGATCGTAACACACGATTTCCGTTGTGGCAAGTAAAGATGAGAGACATTCTCATTCAGATGGATTTACACAAGGCGCTATTGGGTTTCAATAAGATGCCCGATACATGGACCGAAGAAGAAAAGGAGATGAAAGATCTGAAGGTTTTATCCCAGATTCGTTTGCACTTGTCAAACGATGTTTTGCAAGATGTTCTAAAAGAAACGTCAGCGGATTCTTTATGGCTAAAGTTGGAGCAACTGTTGATGACCAAGAGCTTACCAAACAAGTTGCATTTGAAGCAACGGTTGTTCAATCTCAAGATGATTGAAGGAGGCTCTTTAGCTGAACATATATCCACATTTAAAGAGTTAGTAAATAACTTAGAGAATATGGATGTTCAGTATGAAGATGAAGACTTGGCTCTATTCTTACTATCGTCGTTGCCAGAATCCTATAGCCATTTTCGTGATACTATTATCTATAGCCGTGACACTCTAGTTTTAGATGAAGTCTATACAGCTTTGGATTCAAAAGAGAAGATGAAGCATATTACTGGTGGTGGTTCAAGTGATGCTAAAGCCGAAGGTTTGAATGCCAGAGGAAGAACAACAGAGAGAAATAGAACTTCTCAATCTTCCAACAGAACCAGATCCAAGTCAAAAGGCAAACGAAAGTTTTGCAACTATTGTCACAAGAAGGGACATGTGCTTGAAGAATGCTTCAAGTTGAAGAACAAAGAAAAAGAGAAGACGGCAGCAAATGGTAAACAAGCTAGCACTTCGGGTGAAGCCGATCTAGCTGAGGTCGAAGGTATTGGAGAACTTTTGACAGTTTATTCAGATAAACTGGATTCCACTGGTGATTGGATACTCGACTCTGGTTGTACTTTTCATATGTGTCACAACAAAAGTTGGTTTTACACATTTGAAAAGGTTAACCAGGGTTATGTGTTGATGGGTAACAATACTACATGTCCAGTTCTTGGACATGGTTCAGTCAGGATCTGTATGTTTGACGGAGTTATTCGAACCATGGGGGATGTTAGATATGTTCCTGACCTCAGAAGAAACTTGTTATCTCTCAGTTCCTTTGACAAAAAGGGATATGAGTTTGCTGGTAAAGGTGGAGTTCTCAGGGTATTCAAAGACGGTTCCGACAAACTGAGAGCCGAACGAAAAACCTCAGATCTTTACTTTCTTGACGGGCAAACAATTTCGAGTGATGCTTGTTGTGTGTCAAAGTTTTTTTCTGATCCAGATCAGTCCCGTCTTTGGCACCTTCGACTCGGCCATATGAGTTTTCAAGGCATGTCAGAATTGAGTCGAAGAGGTTTACTTGGTCAACAAAAGATTGTTGATTTGGATTTCTGTGAAGACTGTGTATATGGCAAGGCAAAACGAGTGAGGTTTGCAAGTGGTATCCATACAACGAAAGGACCACTTGATTATGTTCACTCGGATTTGTGGGGACCGGCTCGAGTTCCTTCAAAAGGTGGAGCTATTTATATGCTCACTATTATTGATGATTTCTCCAGGAAGGTGTGGTCTTTCTTCTTAAAAAATAAAGGAGACGTTTTCTCTACCTTCAGAAATTGGAAAGTTCAGGTTGAAAAGCAATCAGGTCTGGTGGTAAAGTATCTTCGTACGGATAATGGACTTGAGTTTTGCTCAGAAGAGTTTAATGTCTATTGTCAAAAGGAAGGCATTACTCGACATCGCACAGTAGTCCATTCACCTCAACAAAATGGTGTAGCTGAAAGGATGAATCGCACCATTATGGAGAAGGTCCGGTGTATGCTTTCTAATTCCAAATTGCCAAAGTCTTTTTGGGCGGAGGCTGCTTCGACTGCTTGCTATGTTATCAACCGATCACCGTCACGAGCAATCGAGAAGAAAACTCCGTTTGAGTTATGGTCCGGTAAACCTGCAAATTATTCAGATTTAAAACCATTCGGATGTCCAGCGTATGCACGAGTTGACAATGGGAAGCTAGAACCAAGAGCAATCAAATGCGTTTTTCTTGGGTACAATCAAGGTGTAAAGGGTTACAAGTTATGGAGCTTTGATTTGAAGAAAATTATCATCTCAAGAGATGTTACTTTTGATGAGTCTGCTATAATTCAACCAGTTGCTGACTCTTCTAAAAGAACAGATGCATCAGATGTATCATCCGAAGCAAATAAAGAGAATGCTCAAATGGAGGTGGAGCTTCCTACTTCACCTACCACTAATCAGAGTACAAATCAGCATCAAGATTCTTCTTCGTCGGATGAGCATGTTATTGGTGAAGATTCAACACCTTCACAACCACAAGCTACTACTCCAAGCATTGCAAGAGATAGACCGAGAAGACGGATTATTCCTCCGAAGAGGTATGCTGAATCTGATTTGGTTGCCTATGCTTTTATTGTTGCTGATAATATTGAGTCCGCAACGGAGCCTATGAATTATGACGAGGCTATCGAATCTGAAGACTCAAATGATTGGATGCTCACTATGCAAAATGAGATGGAATCTTTGCAGCGAAACAATACTTGGAATTTAGTTCCTATTCCGAAAGGGAAGAGACCAGTTAAATGCAAATGGGTCTACAAGCTCAAGGAACCTGTCAACCCAAATGATAAACTAAGATACAAAGCTCAGTTAGTAGCTAAAGGCTACAGTCAGATTCCTGGTATTGATTACACTGACATTTATTCCCCAGTTGTCAAACATACTTCCATTCGTGTGTTGTTGGGGTTGGTTGCTTCTAACGATTTTGAGTTAGAACAACTTGATGTCACTACAGCTTTCCTAAATGGTGAGCTTGAGGAAGAGATTTTTATGCAACAACCTGAAGGTTTTGTAGTTCCTGGAAAGGAGAACTACGTATGCAAGTTGAACAAATCTCTTTATGGCCTCAAGCAGTCTCCTAGACAATGGTACAAGAGGTTCGATTCTTTCATGACCAGTCACAAATTCAGCAGGTGCACCTATGATAGCTGCGTTTATTTTAAGAAAGGTGACAATGGTTCAAAGATCTACTTACTCTTGTACGTGGATGACATGTTGATTGCAGCGAAAGATATGAAGGAGATTCAGAAGTTAAAAGACCAGTTGAAAGCTGAATTTGAAATGAAGGACTTAGGAGCTGCCAAAAAGATTTTAGGTATGGAAATTATTCGTGACAGGAAGTCTAGGATCTTGCATCTTTCTCAGAAAAGTTATATTGAGAAAGTCCTAAGACGCTTCAGTATGCACGAAGCAAAGTCTGTCAACACACCTTTTGCAGCACATTTCAAGCTATCATCCGCTTTGAGTCCTACTAATGAGACTGATATGGCTTACATGGCACGTGTTCCATACTCTAGTGCTGTTGGATCTTTGATGTATGCTATGATCTGCACGCGCCCTGATTTGGCTTATGCTGTTAGCATGGTTAGTAGATACATGGCGAACCCGGGGAAAGAACACTGGAAAGCAGTACAGTGGATTTTTCGTTATTTACGCGGTACGTCTTCTATGTGTTTACGTTTTGGTAAATCTAACACTGGGGTGTTCGGATATGTTGATTCAGATTATGGCAAAGATTTGGATAAACGAAGATCAATTACAGGATATGTGTTTACTCTAAATGGTTGTGATGTTAGTTGGAAAGCCCAGTTACAGTCTACAGTTGCCCTGTCTTCTACCGAGGCAGAGTACATGGCGATTACAGAAGCAGTTAAGGAAGATATCTGGTTGAAGGGGTTATTTGGAGAACTCGATGATAGAATAAAGGTGACCACAGTTTTCTGTGACAACCAGAGTGCTATCTCCTTGAGTAAAGATCAAATGTTTCATGACCGAACTAAGCATATTGATATTCGTTATCATTTTGTGCGGGATATCATTGAAAAAGGTGATTGTGTTGTGGACAAGATTCATACAGATTATAATCCCGCTGATATGTTCACCAAAAGTCTTCCTATAGCCAAGTTCAAATTATGTTTGGACATGGTGGGTGTTTCTGATCGCAGTTGAGCCTGAAGGCTCGTAGGTGGAGGAAGTATTATTTATTTTTCGGAAACAATTTTTTTCTCTATATAAAATTGCAGGTTCTTATGGAAGTTTTAGAGTTTGATGAGCTATAGGTTTTGACTAATCGTAAAGCATGACTTGCTTAATTTTGATGTCAAGGTGGAGATTGTGGAAAAGTTACCTCCAAAATTAGCAAGTGGCAAATAGTTCAGGGGTTATTTCTATAACTTATCATTTACTATTCATAGTTTGACTATGAATAGTAATATAAGTGTGAATTTGGAAATGAGAATGGACCGTGGTTAATATTATAATATATATATGTTAATTTTGGAATGAAGAATGGATGGTAGGCGCCTACAAATCTTTTCCGCCTACAATTTTGGACATTTTTTTTTCTTTCCTTTCATATTACATTCCCTTTGGCTATAAATAGCCTAAGCCATTTTCATCATAAACACACGAACCAAAATCAAAGTATATATAGAAAAGCATTAAATATATATACTTATACACCACCGTGTATTTTAGCTCTCCCACTCTATTTGTAATCTCTTTCATAATCCCTGTAAACACTGCAAATTATAGTGAATTGTTTCTCGGCTTCCTCCGCCCGTGGTTTTTTTCCCGATTTGGGTTTCCACGTAAATTCTTGTGTCTCTATTATATTTATTTTATTCGTATTACGTTGTGATTATTACGCTTTGATAATTTTTGATCCCATTCCGCATTGAGCTAATATTATTTAAGTCAATTCGTATCCGTCGTATTTTACAACAAAAATATAATCTATAATCGTTTTAATACTATGAAATCGAGTTCTTTAGATGATAATAATCAAACCCGCTATAAACTTTAAACACAAATTTCAAGTTAACGATACACTACATTACTACATTGCGTTGACTCTTGGGAAAAGTCAAACCCACTGTTCAAAAATTCCAGCAAGGTCAAAATCTGGATACCTTATACCAAGCAGTCAAAATTACACTTACTACTGAGTACTGATCATGACCATGTTCGTCAATAGCTCATATAAATATATATAAACTATAAAGATTACACAGAATAGTTTTTTGTTTCTTTTTCACATAATTTCTATCCAATCTGCACAGATTAAGATGGAATGGAAGAATCAATTTCTTGTATCATGCAAGTGGAGATCGAAGAACATGATCTTTGGATGTGTCGACTGCATTTGGGGAAGCAAATTGCCACATGGGAACTCCTTGGAATCCCATGAATGGCATGAACTTGTTGGGGGTGGAGACCGGGATCACAGGATGAGCTGGCGGATAGAAGGCGGTTGGTGGGCCACAATAGGTGGTGGCTGCTTTCAGTTGCTGTTCTAGTCTATCTTTGTCTGCTTTTAGCTTCTGCTTTTCGTCTCTTAGTTCGTTCTTCTCAACCTGTCATATACAGGAAATGTTGTATGGATAAATGATGTTTACAAACTCAAAAGGAAATAAATATGAAAACAAAAAAAGGTATGGTCATATATATTATTATATAAGCTTCATATTTGTATCAACGTGCACAGAAGTACAAAATCTTGAAAAGAAAAAGAAAAAAGCAAAGAAGTACGTATATCTACAATTAAATATATATTTTGAGTTTGTGGTCAAACATCCTACCATACAAATTATGGAACAAGTTCCAAGAAACTAGAGAATCTCCAAGGTTCATAGTTTTGTATGTTGTCCTCAAAAGTCAAATTATATTTTTTCTCATAAACAAAAGGAATGAAATCCTCACAAGTCAAAGTGTATCTTTTGTCATAAACAAATGGAATAAAATAAGATCAAGTCTGCATTCGTTGCATGAGATTGGACCAAACTAGATAAGAGGACTCGATGGACTACCAGTAACAGATAACAAGATATCAAATAACAGATAACAGATAACTCCAAGGGATTTACCTTCAACTCATTGATTTTGACAAGCAAATCTTGCGAAGAGTCTTTAAGCTTGGCCGCATCGTTCCTCAACTGAGTGACCATTCGGATCGCATCCGCCAAAATAACGCTCTTATCCGTCTTGGGTGACCTTCCCGGGTCCAACATTTCATTCAATTCTTGAAACCTTTTCAACCAAATTCAAAATTCAAAACATTACGACCATATTTTTTTTTCTTTTTTCTTTACTTGATACAGACACGACTTAATCCAGTAAGCTATATTTAAATCTTCTCTTTCACTTAATGCAGAAAAAACGACCCTTTCCCTTTTAAGTTCTAGTTTTTGTTTTTTTAGATTTGCCCATATTTCAAGTGGACAGCATATTTTTAATGGGAAAAAAGTGTACCTTTCATTCAGTTTATCCCTTCTCTTCTTCTCTCGGCATGCTTTTGAATCAGAGCACGATCCAGGATGGGCCCTACATACAATAAACTCGCCTCGTATGTAATAATGTGTCACCAAAAAAAAAGAAAATTGAAAAAGATGAAAAGAATAATACCTCTTTCTGGACTCGTCTTCTTTGGTAGTATTTGATTTTCCTAATGAATCCACAAATTCTTTGCTGCATATGTAAAACAAGAGGGGTATGATTATTTCCACTAATTAAAAGTTTATTGTAAATGAAACTGAAAGAAACCAACATAAACAAGAAACACGGTAATCATAATTGACTATTATTGTATTATTCATGATCTTGAATCAAGTTATCTAAAGCTCTGATTATTTAGGATCAAAATAAGAACCAATGAAACAGCTTAATGATTACATTACAATCCCTACCTAACTCTAAACTCATAACTATCTGATAATCAGACTTTGATTCCGATTCTGTAAGTAAAAAAGCATATCCAAAGTCCAAACACCCTCGTAATGAAATTAAAGTTAGCAATGTAGAAGAGCTACAGACACAAAGGGATAATACAGAATATGATCAAATAAACTGCACCCATGATAAAATTGACTGAACGAAGATTTAAGCAAACTGACCTAAGATTAGCTGAATCGGGAAATGGATTAGACGACCACTGAAAATCCGTATCGAGAGAGGGAAGTTCACCTCCGGGAACCGGAAACTGTTCGATCAAACTGAAATCGAAGAAACAATTCGAATTATCATCCTCCTCCGGTGCAACCATTTCCTGTTCTTGAGGAAACCTTAACCGGAATTCCACTATTCCGGTGGGAAAATGACCGGAGAAATCGATTACCCAAATGGGAATTTTGTGGGTTTTTGCGTTCCAAAAACGTGAAAGGAATTATAAATTAGGGAGACTTTTAGAGGGCAGTATTCGGTGGGTTTGAAAAGCACATGCGAATTTGGCAATTTGGGGAAGAAAGGGGAAAATCGTGGAGATTGAGATTGTCACTGGGTGGCGGGTGTTCGTCGTAGTAACACGTTGCATAATATTCAGAAATGACAGAATAAACCATTTTACTATAACCTTGTTTCACATTGTACCCCACTTATTATCAAAATGACATTTTCAGTCCCACGCATTTGATTGGATCGATTTCACCATGCGTATTGTTCCTCAGATTACTTGTAAATTCAATAAAAGAAAGGAAAGAAAAATATTCACCGAAAAAAAAAAAAAGGAGGGGAAGGAAAAAGTTTCTTATTCCGTGTTCCCGAATTCAAAAGAAAATGAAAGGAAAATATTAAGTTTCTATGTTCCCGAGTTAAGAAAGAAAATAAAATAAAAATTTTTCTTTCCCCTCACTTTCTTCCCGAATCCGTCCAATTTGGGAGGAAATTTTGAAAAGCAAATATGACTCCAAAATCTTTTCCTTCCCCGCACTTTCTTTCTGTCAATTAAATTTGGGAACACAATTTTTCTTCGATATCCTTCTATATGCATCTATTTCTCTTCTTAAGTAGAACTCGGGAACATTTACTTATTGATAACAATTTTAATTATTTATTAAAAGTTTTAAACGTGCTAACAGATTATATAACTTATGAATCGTATAAATTGACGATATTATTTCTGTTTGTTGTATTTACTCTGTTTGCGACTCTCTTGCATAATGAAAGGGGTTCTTTAGAATTTATAAAAGTTTGATAAACAGAGGAATAAAAAAGCATCATACAAAGAGACGTTTTATCATTGATAAAACTAAAGAGACACAACAACCCCCATTGAAGGGACAAATTGCTTTAGCCGATGCGTACATAGTTCTAAAATCCTCCTAAAGATGTGTTTGTTATGTGAGAAATAACTAAAAGGGACTGGATTCGACTGGACGAGACTAAACAAATTTATCAGGGCTATTTACGATGATAAATATAAGAAGGCACACGTGTCTTTTGCGTAAACAAGAGACCAAGAGTAAGTCGTTGTCCCACATGGCCCCACATTTTTGAAAGGATAAAGAATTCAATTTTTGAATTGGTATCATAGTCTTAGTTCAATTACGTCAAACACAATATAACATATTATGTCTAATGTTGGTCTAAAAACACGACATAAACTTCAGTCAAACAACGATATTGTTTCTATTTGGTGTTATAAAATAAACAATGTGGAAGCAACCACAAAGAACACATGACGATATACAGTGGAAACTCGAAAAGAAAAAAAATACTATGAACGGCCATTACTTATTGAACGTTTATATTATTGATAAATCTTCAGGGAGAAAAGAGAAAAAATATATATAAGAATAATAAATAAGACATCTAGATGAGTTTATATAATGATCTTACAAAGAATCATAAACAAATTCAAACATGTAACAAATAGGAAATATTTCTAATAGATAGCTAACTTGAGATCCAAACAAAGGGTTTGAGAATATATTTAACATTTAGTGTATTTACTTTATTTGTGATTCTTTTGCATTATCAAAGGGCTCATTTAGAATTCATAAAAGGTTGATAAAGAGAGGTATAAAAAAGCATCACACCAAAAGACGTTTTACATAAAATTATAGAGACATAACAACCCCCATCGAGGGGACAAATTGCTTTAGCCGAATCATACATGGCTCTACAAGCCTCCTAACGATGTGTTTGTTATGTGGGAAATAACTGAACGGGACCAGATTAGAATGAACTGGATTCTTCTAGATAGGATTAGACAAACTTATTAGAGCTATTTATGATGATAAAGATAAGAAGGAAAATCATGTCGTTTGCATAAAGAAGAGTCGGAGAGTAAGTCGTTGTCTCACTTGGCCCCATATTTTTGGTAGGACAAAATATTCATTTTTTATTTCTACATTGATATGATAGTATCGGTTCAATAACATCAAACACAATATAACATATTATCTCTTATGATGTCCTACAACACGACTGAAATTTCATAAACACCATTACACAAGTTTTTAGTAGTTCATTTGCTTCATATATATATATATATATATATATATATATATATATATATATATATATATATATATATATATATATATATATATATTAGGTTATAATTCATGAGAACAATAGTTCCAAAATCAATCGAATTTTGATAGTTAAACATCATAACTATTAATCAATTTATTTCAAAAAATATTAAGTAAGAAAGTTATGTGATTGTTTGTAACTATATAATACTTGATTCAAATAAATATATGAAAAAAAAAAAAGCTGAAGAGCTTTAAGAAAATGATACGTACCAAAATTAGATTATTCAGAAATATTTTAAATTAGATTATTATGTGATATTGGTCTACTTCTTAATCATATAAAAATCCATTCTTTCAATAACTTTGATAAAAAGTTTATGATTAGATACTTATATTCGATATTGGTCTATCTCTAATCAGATTTAAAGGCAATCAATCTAACCGATCAATGTTTTTACGCATGGAATTAGATTCTTGACGATGTGAATGTTGAAAAAAATACACCTAGATTACATTTTATAACCTCAAACTTGTAACATATACTTTATTTTTAACCCATATGAGCAAGTGTTGGTACCAAAATTTAATTAGTGTTTGGATGATAACAATGTGTAATAACGATCCTCATATAAAAACGGGTATCTTATATGTGTCGCAAAATGTGTGTTAATAGTTAATACCATATTTTGACACAACCTGTTTTAGGACCTACCATGGAATTTTTCTAATATTTTTCAAAAGACAGCATAGCTCGTCTGTAGAACATATGGCCATTTATGGTAGTCAAACTAACACAGTTTCAATGCACCGAAGATTTTAAGTCATGGGCTATGTTTATCAAGAAAAAACCAACAACAACAAGCTTGTTCATATATGGCATGGTTCATCAAACTCGGACAGATTCTATACATTAAAGACTAAAATTACACAAGCTTATTGTTACAATTGTAGCATACATATTTTTTTTGGACAAAGACGAAAAACACTTTTACTAACCCTAAAATTAAAAAAGGCATGGATTGCATGATATTGTTCCGCATGTAGATCTTATATCTTCTTGTATAAATACTCATGCAAACCCATATGTTCAATTGCTTAGTATAGGATAGAGAGAGTAATTTCTTATATGTAAGGATTTTATTTCTAAGATCATATAATATTATCATCTCATAACTTAGAGATTATCAAAAGAGTGTTTACCTTCCACATTGTAAACACGTTATCCTTTCAAGTTTATACAAACCAGAAAACGTTATAAATTTATAATTTTGTTATTTATTTACTTGTCGGTTATGCTTTAAGAATATATTTATAAAAAGGCTATACTTGTATTCAACCTCTTCCTTTCTACAAGTATTTTATATGTATTCGGACCTAACAAGAACATACTTACATTTTTTTACTTGCATTTTTTAGATGATAGCAACATACTTACAATTCATTGTCAATAATATTTTTATATGTACTTGAACTTTTTCGGATGATAACATACTTACAATCATTACCGATAATAAGAACATACTTACAATCATTACCAACAATAACAACACACTTACAAATATTTACCTATGATAACTCTATGTAAAATGAAACTTATAAGTTGCATGTTTCATATTACATATTGCTATTATAGGTAAGGAAATATAAATACATTGTTATTATAGGTAAAAAAAACTATAAATACATTACACATCATGCATACAAATTATTCACTCGTATAAATACTATGACTTTAGTTTTTTGTGCAAAGTATACCTGGAGCTAAAGAAAACAAACTTACTTTAGACGAATCATACATAAGCTCTGCAAGCCAGACCCTTAACGATGTGTTTGTTACATGAGAAATAATCCAAACAAGATAGGACTAAACTAAATTGGATTCGATTGGATAGGGCTACACGAACTTACAACTATTTTCGATAATAAAGAAGAAGAACATTCACATATTTTACACAAACAATAGAATAAGTATATGTCCCACCATGTTCCACATCTTTTAGTGGGATAAAGGATTAAAAAAATTTATTTATATTATTCATAGTGTCAGTTCAATGTACGCCAAACACAATATAACAACTGTCTTATGTTGTCCTGAAAAACGGAGTAAATTTATGAAGACCATTGCACAAATTTTTAGTAGTTTTCATTTAAGCACACTTAACATGCTAGATGGCCAATTGGTTTAAGAAAAAGTTAAAAATTAGATTCTTATATTCGAAATCGACTTATTTCTTAATCATTAGCGTTTGGTGGGTGGAACAGAACTGGACTGGACAAAACAATATTATTTTAAAAGGCGTTTGGCATGTATGGAACAGGAACAAAAGATGTTATTGACCAAGTCAAGTGGGACTAATCCCACCCAAAAAGGTGGAACACAATGGAACAGTAAATATTTGACCAAAATACCCACCCTAAAACAAATTCTACTCCTCCTCGTTTAACATTTCTTCCATCGTTTTTTACTTCTATTACATTTTTGTTTTGCCTCTTACATTTTCAATTGTTTATTCAAAGGGGCTTCAAGTTGCATAGTAGTGAATAAATATCAATTTCATTTATGTTTCTTTTCTCCTTTTTATTTTATTATTTTAATTTTATTAGTGATTATCGATATTATCTTCTACATCCCATTTTAATTTACTTTATAACATGATTTATGCATTCCCCATAGCAGCCGCCAAAGCCTAAAAGAAATTCCAATCTGTGGGCTTTGTGTAAATTTTTTATTTTTAATTACTCTTTAATACGATTATTAGAACGTATTATACCCTAAAACAAAATGGGAATAGTTTATAAACTTTTTGATAAATTCAAGGATGATTTAGTAATTTTACAATCGTGTTCCATTATTTTAGTTCTGTCCAGTCCAGTTCTATCTTGTTCTGTTCAGTTCAAGTCCAGTTCTATCTTGTTCTGTTCAGTTCAGTCCCGTTCAGTCTCGTTACCAAACGCTACCTTAAGAATTCAATTGGTC